GTCTGCGTCTGCCTGTCCTCCGTCCGTCGGGGGTGACTGTGCTCTTGGCACGGACGTCCTTGAGGACAGGCAGGAGGAGTTCCAGTGCTTTGCCGCCGCTTTGCCCCATCTCGTGTCCATGCTTGTTGCCCCTGAGGGAGACCCGGATGCTCTAGACATCCCGACCCCACGCTCTTACGCAGAGGCGATGGCCGGTCCCTACTCCTCTCAGTGGCAGTCAGCCATGGACGCAGAGATGGCTTCCTGGAAGTCCACAGGCACCTACGTTGACGCTGTTCCCCCTCCTGGGGGGAACATTGTCAGTGGCATGTGGATCTTCAGGGTGAAGCGGCCGCCGGGTTCTCCGCCTGTCTTCAAGGCGCGCTACGTGGCTCGTGGCTTCAGTCAGCGACAGGGAGTTGACTTCTTTCAGACCTTCTCCCCGACCCCGAAGATGACCACTCTTCGGGTTCTACTGCACGTCGCTGCTCAGCGTGACTACGAGCTACACTCTCTTGACTTCAGCACTGCTTTCCTGCAGGGCCGCCTGCACGAGGAGATCTGGCTGCGCCGCCCTCCTGGCTTCACTGGGTCGTTCCCTCCTGGTACCCAGTGGAGCCTCCGGCGGCCAGTCTACGGTCTCCGCCAGGCGCCGCGTGAGTGGCACGACACACTGAGGACTACACTTGCGGCTCTTGGGTTTGCTCCTTCTACTGCTGACCCGTCGCTGTTTCTGCGCACCGACACCTCGCTGCCGCCGTTCTACATCCTCGTGTACGTCGACGACTTGGTCTTTGCCACTGCGGACACTGCCGCACTCGCCCACGTGAAGTCCGAGCTGCAGAAGAGACACACGTGCACAGACCCTAAACCCTAAACTGACAAGCTATCTTGGCTTGCGGATCACCCGGGACAGAGCACGCCGCACCATTACCCTGACTCAGTCACACATGGTGCAGCAGGTCCTTCAGCGCTTCGGCTTCACGTACTCCTCGCCTCAGTCCACTCCTCTGCCTACGGGACACTCGCTCTCAGCTCTGCCTTCGGATTGAGTCCGTAGAGTCGAGTGGTCCGTATCCAGAGCTTGTGGGCTGCCTCATGTACCTGATGACTTGCACTCGACCTGACCTCGCATACCCTCTCAGCATCTTAGCACGCTATGTTGCTCCCGGCCGTCACCGGAAGGAGCACATGGATGCAGCTAAGAGGGTGTTGCGCTACTTGTGCAGTACGTCGGGCATGGGGCTAGTGCTTGGAGGGCGTGAGCGGCCTGTGCTCACTGGGCACTTAGACGCTTCTTGGGCTGACGACCAGGCTACTCAGAGGTCGTCTCAGGGTTACACCTTCAGTCTTGGCTCTGGCTCTGTCTCTTGGCGCTCTACTCGCTCTTCTTCGGTTCTCAGCTCCAGCTGTGAGGCTGAGATCTACGCCACGGCCATGGCTGCCCAGGAGGTTCGCTGGCTCACCTACCTGCTGACTGACCTTGGAGAGCGGCCTCGTTCTCCTCCAGTGCTGTACGTCGACAACAAGGCAACCATTGCCTTGTGTGAGGAGCACAGACTGGAGCACAGGACGAAGCACATTGCTCTGCGCTACTTCCTTGCTCGAGAGCTGCAGCAGCGTGGTCAGCTTCGCCTGCGTTTCGTGGCCACTGAGGCCAACACTGCTGATGTGTTCACCAAGGCACTTCCGCCTCGTGACCATCAGCGCTTTTGCACTCTGCTAGGCCTTGTGCCCACTGGGCCTCACTTGCATACCTCTTGACCTTGCTTGTACTGCTGCATATATATATCCTTGCTCTTGCTTGTTTAGCACTGTTATATATATATATGCTCTGCTGCATGTGAACTGGCCTTGTGGCCTTGACCTTGTGCTCGGAATTTGTGTGGTATCCTTGAGATCCACCCTGAGCTTGCTTTGCTTTGCTTTGCTTTGCTTGACTGGTCTTGTGACCCCTTGCTCTCCCCCACTTTGCCTATGGGGGTGTGTCAGATGATTATATTACTGATGCATATATTTAGGCTGTAGTGGGGTAGCCCATAGGGGGTACAACCCAATTAGGGTTGGTACTTGTACTTGTTTCATTTCATAGTGCACTCATTCCTCGCCTCTATCTCAACATTTTGTACCTGGCACCTACGCAATGTCTCTGACGATGCAACCGTCTATCTGCACCTACTCTGCAGGTGCACACCTGCGTAGATATTCACCTGCGAATGCAGCGCTGGCAGGCCGACCTGTTGCAGCGCTCGCATGTCGCCCTTCTGCTCCTCTGGCAGACCGCTCTGTTTCAGCGTTGGCGAACCGCTCTGATGCAGTGCTGGCAATTCGCCTTGCAGAATGCTTGCTAGGGATTGCAATGCCATTCCAGTGATATCACTTGCATGTGTCAGTAGAGCTACACTGTGAGATCCCCGATCGATCCTAGGGGGGGTTACAGGCGCGTTTGCCTGGGGGGTTATGGGCGCACCGACCCGCTACTGAAACAAGCCCTTTTATCCCAATGGTCTAGTGGTTGGGATTCTGACATGGTATCAGAGCGGTCTCGGGTTCGAATCCCGGTGTATGCACATGTTGGCCGTTGCCACTGTGCTCAGTCGTGGGCCTCCCAGTGTGGGGGGGTGTCAGTAGAGCTACACTGTGAGATCCCCGATCGATCCTAGGGGGGGTTACAGGCGCGTTTGCCTGGGGGGTTATGGGGGCACCGACCCGCTACTGAAACAAGCCCTTTTATCCCAATGGTCTAGTGGTTGGGATTCTGACAGCATGCTCTTCTTTGTACTCTAATTCTCAATTTTCAATGTTCTTTCAATTTTCTTAGTGGAAACTCTTGCCAAATTTCTCAATGGTCACAGCAAGTAGTAAGAACTCTGATAGAACGCTACTAGAGCGCTACGATCACCCACACAACTCCGTGCTCTCCTTCGTAGTCCACTCCCGCTGTAGGGTGACTCTCGGCAAATTCCAACACTCCTAACGGGCAGTGGGTTAACATCAATTTTGCTGACTTTGATGAAGGCGCAAACGCTATTAGTCGGAGTGAGATAATCGTATCTATCTTTCAGCCGACCGCTTTGCAGCCCACCAAGTCTATCGTACCCCTGCACTAAAAACTATCCCGGAAAGTGGAGGGTAACCTAGGAAAGTAGCTCTGATACCAAGTGTTATGAGTTTGTACGAAAGAAGAGTGCGCAGAATTCAATATCGCGGAAGTGATTACAACTACCCAGCAAACAACGGGGTTAGGCCCTCAGATTCGTTTTTTGCCTGTCTGATTCGTCAGACTAGTACACTGTTTTAGTCTGAAAATCTCAGACTTGGTATAGAAAAAAGGCTGAAATTTCAGAGTGTCTTAAAACAAAAGTCTGATCATTCAAAAGCAATGTATTCTATGTTTCATCGAAAGTGTATTCAATGTTTCATTCATCTGCTATCGAAACATGCCCTGACAGGGCGAATGTGCAATGTCAGGGCGATTTTGTTGTGATTGGGCGAAGATTGTTGTACTTTGACAGCGCAAATCTGTTGTGTCAGAGAGATTTTCCTATGATTGGAAGAAAATCTAGTGCTGTAAGACTCGGATTTGCTGTGTCAATACGAATCTGCTGTGACCCGTAAGTCCGAATCACCCGTCAAGGACGCGTTTGTACTCCGAATTATTAGAGTACACTCTCAGAAAACTCTAAACTGTCAGAGTTAGCATTAAAAAAAGTATGAAAATTACAGAGTTGAGGCCCAGAAAAGTCTGATTTTATCAGAGTGCACAGGAAAAAAAATACGAAATATCAGAGAAAAAAAGTCCAAATTAGAGAAAAAAGTCTGACTTATGAGGGCCTGAACGGGGCCTAGGCATAATATAGCAAAGCTAGCTAGGTCGAGGTCGCGGGGTCGCGCGAAGGTTGGGTGCAGGTTTGGGGTTGGGAAACCCGAAGGCGACGCGAAGGACGTTCGGAAGGCGAGGTCGACGGACCGAGCCTGAACTCCGAAAAGTTGGAATTGTACGCGTACGGAGTGCCTCAGTAAGGAATTAGGAAAATTCCTTACAACGAAACACTTTGCAAACCCACTGCCAAATGTACGAACGAGGGTGTGTACGCGATACAATACATCCCGGTAAAAACTATGCAGCTTCAGAAACTATTCCCGTGGATCAATCGCAGCCCAGCAACGTGGGACTGACGAACGCTGCGGCAGCAGGCGCTGACGTGAATGGCCAGGCAATCGCAGCCACACGTCTTTTGCTTAGGGGAGTGCCGGAAAGCCAACTCAACCTCGAGAACAGCCATGTCAACACGGAAATTGGTGCTTGATTCCCTCAGCTCAGATGAAGCGGTGAGTCGTGGTTTAAAGCGTTTAAATCAAAATAGTCTTTCTCTACTGCACATCACCGTACGAAACCGCAAAATTCGAACACAATGTACCCTCCCTCCCGCCCTCGGAATTAGTTGAATGGCCCCATTGCATATCATGCTTCCCGTGTCGAGCATCTGCACCACTAGTAGACACGCACATTGCGTGACAGCAAAGAAGCAAAGCGAAATCGATTTCGGGCGCGGGTAGAGGGTCGTACGCAAGGCACTGGCAGCACAATAAATCTCCGCAGTCGTCTCCGCGAGCCGTCCGCGGAACTGGAGCTGCGCCAGCGAGCTCTGCGACTCCGGTCGAATGCTTGAGCAGGCGCGTCCCACCCGTTAATCCTTGCGTGACCCTCGCGTTGACTTACGCGTGAACCATGGCTCCCGTCTACCTCCTTGAAGCGATGAGCACCCAATTGCTCTGAGGAATAGTTAAGCGCTTATTTGTGTGCAATGCAATGGCTTTAGTTATTTAAATGACGATAATAATGGCGTCCAATCGAGTAGCAGCACAGCTGTTAGCGAGGATATCCTTCTTATCGCACTCAATCCATCCGTGCTCGAGCGCAACCGCCGCGACGCCTCTCCTCATCTTCGAGTAACCCGCAGTCGACCCACGTCGAAAGCCACCACGTAACCCGTAGCCGGCAAGCGCCAACCAGAGCCATGGTTCCGCTGCTCATCTGCCTGGTGTGCCTCATGGGCGGGTGCATGTGGTGGCTGTGCCGGCGCTGCCTGCACTCCGGCTCCACCGCTAGCAAGGACTGGCCGCCCGCCACCTACGACGAGTTTAAAGACGTCCCTAGAATCTGCCGCATCCTGCTGTCCGTCTACGAGGAGGATATCAACAGCCCGGTCTACAACGACCGTCTGGAGATTAATGACGTCGTGCGGCTCGCGGGGTACAAGGACACGCAGGGCCGGTGCCCGCCGTACGTGATCTACGTGGACCACGCGGCGCGCGACATCTGTCTCGCGGTGCGCGGGCTGAACATGGCCAACTTCGCCGACTACCGCGTGCTGATGGACAACCGCATCGGCAAGCAGCGCTTCGACGGCGGCTACGTGCACCACGGGCTGCTCAAATCCGCCGCGTGGCTGCTCGACCAGGAGATGGAGACGCTCAACGCGCTCGCCGCGGAAAACCCGGAGTATACGGTGACGCTCGCGGGGCACTCGCTGGGGAGCGGGATTGTCGCGATGATGACGGTGATTCTGCATAAGAACCCCGACGAGGTGGGGTTTGATAATGCGCGGCTTCGCTGCTTCTGCATCGCGCCCGCGCGGTCCACGTCGCTCAACCTCGCAATTAAGTACGCTGACATCATCAACTCCGTCGTCTTGCAGGTGAGCTGACGTCTCCGGCGGTTCGTACACTCAGCGTGCTGCAGTTGTTCGTTTGGCCTCTCAACGTCATCCCCCCACCTCTCCCTTCGCCCCTCTCCCCTCGTCACTCCCCTCCACACCGGCTCCTCTTCTCTCGTCTGCCTTCTCTTCCCCTCCGCTTCCCCCCGCCTCCTTCCCCCCTCGCCCCGCGCACGTCGTTCCCCCTGCCCGCTCCCCCGCAGGACGACTTCCTTCCGCGCACGTCAGCACCCATCGATAACATCCTCGCGCTCTCCTTCTGGTACGCTCCTCCGCTCTCCTGGTATCCCCCACTCTTCTTCCCTCTATTCTTCTTTTACTCCCTTCCTCACTCTCCTTGCCTCACTCTCCTTGCTTCACTCTCCTTCCCCCACTCTCCTTCTCCAACTCTCCTTCCCCAACTCTCCTTCCCCCACTCTCCTTCCCCCAACTCTCCTTCCCCCACTCTCCTTCCCCCCACTCTCCTTCCCCCACTCTCCTTCCCCCACTCTCCTTCCCCCAACTCTCCTTCCCCCAAGTTCCTCCCTAGCACTTTGTCCCTCTCTCTTGTTTCCCCAACCATGCCATGCGCCCCCCACCTTTTCTCCCTTTCCCCCCACCCTCCTCAGTCTGCCATGCATGCTGTGCGTCAAGTGCTGCTGGGACTCGTGCGGGCTGTACAAGCGTCGCCTCAAGGACCCTCGCCGCCTCTACGCGCCCGGTCGCCTCTTCCACATCCTCTACACCTCCGACTTCAGGTGGGGCACTGGGTAGGGCACAGGGTGGGGCACAGGGTGGGGCACAGGGTGGGGCACTGGGTGGGGCACTGGGCGAGGTGCTGGGAGAAGCACCGCTTCCTCGACCCTGCACTACACCGCCCACTTCAGGTGGGCCGCTCTGCACTGCACTGTTGCTGCCTTCAGGTGGTGCGTGGGGGCGGGGCAGGTGCAGTGGTGGTGTGCCGCTGCTCGTGTATCGCGTGGTCACTGTGGTGGTATATTCCTTACGTCTGCACTGCATCCCGCTACTCCTGCTGTTACATGCGAGTGAACTTCCTGACAATTTCTCTCTCCCATACCCACTCTTGCCTTCCCCTCCCTGCTCACTCTCCTTCGCCCCGCATGTGTCCCCCACCTTCTTCCCACCATGTCAATAGAGGAGCATTTGACAAGTAACTTGCCTGCCACTCCCTCGTCCTTCTTCCCCCCTCTCCGTTCCCCACCCTCTTCCCTTCAACCTGCGTGCGCCCTGGCCCCCCCAGCTGCCAGGAGGAGGAGCCGCAGGTGAAGACCGCCGTACCGGTCGAAGACCGCTTTGAAAAGGTGGTGCTGTCCCGCACGGCCATCGACGACCATTCGATCGTCATCATCGAGCGCCGATCAACGGTGGCAGTGGAGTCTCTAGAGCTGCGGGAACAGGCGGAGCAGGAGGAGGAGAAGACACCCCCGGAGCAGCAGCGCATGAAGCGCTCTTCAACCATGAAGGAGCGCCAGCAGCAGTACGCCCAGGCGCTTGAGCGCGCCCTCACTCTCCACGTGCCCGATGCCGCCGGCGCTGAGGAGATTCGGCAGCTGGTGGCTGCTGCTGAGGCGCGGGAGGAGGGGGTGAGTGATAGGGCGGTGCAGGGGCACAGGGCAGATAAAACGGGCGAGAAGGGAGATAAGGGGGACAAGGGGGAGAAGGTACAGGTGAAGGAGAAATCAGAAACGATTGCACCTTCGCCAACAGCCGCAGCAGCAGCAGCAGCAGCAGCAGGGGCAGTGGCAGTTGTTGCTGCTGTGGGGATGGAAGGCGGCAAGGAGGCAGTGGGAGGTGAGAAAAAGGCGGAGAGGAAGAAGGATGAGGACGAGACGAGCGAGAAGAGCGCCAAGAGCGAGACGCTGTCAGAGTTCTGGCAGAAGGAGCTGGAGGAGTTTCGGGAGAAGGAGAAACAAGCACTGCTGGAGGAAGAGCGGAAAGCCGAGGAGCGCGTGAGGCAGTTTGAGGAGCAGAGCCGTGCGGACAAGGCAGAGAAGGCGGAGAAGCGCCGAGCGGAGCAGACGGGAGGGGAGGAGGAGGAAGAAAAGGGCGAGGAGGCGGAGAGTCTATCGGACTACTGGAGCAAGGAGCTGGCAGCGCTGCGGCGGCGCGAGGAGGTGGCGATGGTGGAGAGGGAGGCGCAGGCGGCTGAGCGCATCCGCGCGTTTGAGGAGAGGCAGAGGGTGGAGCGGGCGAGACGCGCCGAGGAGGGGGAGGCGGCCGAGCGGCTTTCGGAGTTCTGGGGAAGGGAGATGGACGGGGAGAAGGGGGAGGGGGAGTGGGCGGAGAGGGAGGTGGAGGGCGATGGGGAGGGGGCTGTAGGTGTGGGTGGGAAAGAGGGTGGTGATGGTGCCGTCTCTGCTGCCACAGCGCCTGCCGCTGCCGCCGCCGCCGCTGCTGCTGCTTTTGCCGCTGCTGGTGCTGCTGCTCGTTCTCCTGCTGCTACTGCTGGTGCTCCCACAGCAGGGGGAGGAGGGGATGTGGTGGTGGAGGTGGGTGATGGGGCGGCGCGAGGCCCGGCAGATGTGGCCATCCAGGTGGATGAAGGCACGGCGATGCTACCCAAGACACCTCCACCTGCCACTGCCCCTGCCCCTGCCACTGCCACTGCCACTGCTGCACGTGCAGCTGGGGCTGGGGCCAAGGGCGAGAAGAGCGAGGCAGAGCGCGACGGGCAGCAGCACAGGCACGCACAGTTGGGGCGGGCTTTAACCACCGCACCGCAGCAGCAGCAGCAGCCGAGGGTGGAGGCTGCAGCAGCGCGGCAGCAGATGGGGCGAGCGATCACTGTAGGGTCAGGGCGAGAGGAGGAGGCAGCAGCAGCAGCGGGGCTGTCTGCAGGAGGGGCAGCGGCAAGGGGGGGGCTGTCTGCAGGGGAAGTGGGGGGGACGGGGGGGACCCTGTCAGTGAGGCAGAAGTGGGCGCGTATAGTGGATGAGTTGATAGATGCGGGGGAGGGGGAGGTGCATGGGGGCACACGCGACGCCGCCGAGGCTCAGCTTCGGGAGGCGCAGAGGATCGGTAAGGAGCAGTGGCACAAGGCTCGGGCGGCGTTCCTGTCTGGTGTGGGTGGCCTGTCGAAGAAGGCCGGGATGAACATTGAGATCTGACCGCAAGATGACGTGGCGCTTGGTGCTGATGTGGCACTCGGGGCTGATGTGGCACTTGGTGCTGACATGGCGCTTGGAGCTGCCCCGGTGGTGAATGTCCTGGTGGTAGCAGCAGCAGCATCTGAGGCTCACTCTGCTGGCCATGGCAGCATTACTAATAGCTCCCCCAACAGCTTGTCTCGGTGTACACACAGTTAGGTGGCTCTTGGGAACTTAGGACTCCATCCGGTGCTTCACTGCTGCGAGTGCCTGTTGTGACATGCTTGCCTTACTTGTGCGTGCCGGTGGTGCTCCCAAGAGCAAGCCACTGGTGGTTGATGGGAGACCAGGTGGCGAATGGAAGGGTTTCTAGGCTGAGTGGTTGTCCTCTAGGCTGTAGCGTGCTTTCAGGCCGGTCTTTCACAGGCGAATAGGTGGGTGCTCTAACCAGACACCAGGCTCGTCGAAAAGTGCTGTGTATTCTTCAGTGGCAGAGTATCGCATCACATGTGTTGTGTTGCGCTGTGTAGCAGTGGAGTTGAGCCGACCAGCATGGGTTGTAGTGGATTGCATGGGATTTCACCTTTGCATTGCATTGTAGCAGTTTGCTGTGTCATGGTGCTGTACATGTCATACCTAATGTGTGTGTGTGGGCTGTATGGCAGCAACACAAATGCATAGACCAGTGCAAGAGCGTGCAGAAGTTAGGAGAGAGGAAAGAGGAATGGAGAACCACAGGCAGAACATGGGTCCATGACACAATAACGCACAGCACCATCACAGCATGGCAAACCAAACAAAGGCTTTATGCTATATGTTGGAAACAATAAGTCCTAAGTGCGCTTCTGTCGTATCAAAATCCAAGGTACCAAGCGAAGCAGTCCCAATCGAAGCATCGAGTCAACCTCGGAGGTTAGGGTAACCGCCTGGAGGTTACGAGAAAGTCAAAGGTCGCTGACCTTTGACTCGACAATTACAGCGCGACAGTTAAGGACACACAACTGACTCGTTACAGAGCAGTTGCCCGAGTCGCGCTATATCGAACCGCAACAGCAATACAGTTATCTATTCCCTGTACTCTTATATAAATCCTTGTATTTGCTTGTTTAATTCAATCAACTTTGCTCTCACACACCAGTGCAAGGTCGGTTCAAATTCTTCACTAAACGCTTCCGCTATTACAACTACTTCACCTAGAGTTATCCCTTGCAAAGATCCTAAGGGGCTATCTCAGCCCAACATGGTATCAGAGCAGACAAGGGAAACTCTACTCTTTTTCAATATCATTACAAGACATGGCAACAAACAAGGAAAGGAGCTCCCCTAATGGCTCCTCGGGCACTACTCCTACTCCACCGTCAGCCTCTGGCCTGCAGACAGAAGAAGGCACGGCAACAAGACCAAGAGGAACGTCAACCGAGACCCCCATGAACCACCCTTCGGACTTTGACCAGAACATGATGGAGAAATTTTTCTCCTTCATGTCCTTCTACGAACAACACCAGCAGTCGGGACCTGCACAAACACACAACAGCAACAACGGAGCGACACCCATGAGTCTTGATGGGTCGTCATATGCGCGAGGAAACCAGCAGCAGCAACCTACCTTTGCTCCGTACGAGCGCGGGTCAATCAGCTTCGTGCCCCACCCGCAACCTTCACCTGGACAAGAAAGACCACTGGACGCACTTCAAGTTCAGTCGCAGTTTGCACACGTCTTAAAACTGCAAACGTCAAGACCCTTCGACGGCAAAGACTTCTTTACCTGGTCCTTTGAATTCGAGCTGATGATGGAGGGCGCGCAGATACTCGGCTTCTTCGACGGGTCCCTGCAGTATCCAGCCAACGGGACACAATATGAAAAGCAGCAGTATACGTATCAATCAATGATGGCGTATACAATCCTATTGAGGAATGTGACACCAACTCAGCAGCAGAACATTCGCTCTTACCGGACCTTCGGCAACTCGGCGGAGCTCGCGTACAGCCATCTGAAGAACCTGTATCAAGCAACAGACAGTGTAAACCAGAGCAGGTTAATGGCGCAGTTGACGACAGTCGAAATGAAACCAGGAGAAAAAGGACTGGCGTATATCAGCCGATGTCGCGAACTGCGCGACAAGCTGCTTCGATGCGGAGGGTCAATCTCTGAAGACGCCTTCGTGACAGTCATCATTGGTGGGCTTGGTCCTCAGTGGCGCGCCACCAAAGCCATTCTTCGAGCCCACGGAAGAATCTCTGAAGCTGCACTCTGCGCCGAAATACATGCCGAGCAGCAAGATATGGACCTGCAGGAAGAACGACACAGGAAGAAAACGACAGTATCAGAGTTCGCATTCCACACTCAACGACGACACAGCAATTATAACAACCGACAGCAGCAACCGAAGATAGTACCTCCCTTCTGCCACATCTGCAAGACTTCAGGGCACCCGCGCACACACTGCCCGAATCGTCAGCAATCAACGGCACCACAGCGACAACTTCGACCTTCAAGCTCCCAAATGGCTTCAACACAAGCAAGTGCGACGACCACCATTCAAGCTTCAACGACTTCACCCGGACAACCTGCACAAGGAGCAAGAAATATAATCAACTGCATGACGAAGATAACCGATTCATGTACAACCGAATCACCACCACACTACTCACCGGAAGAAGAGCTTGACAACAGAACGCCTCGCCGTGAGCTACTCCAGCCGAATCCAACGTACGCCGCCATCGCTCAAAGTGAACCGTCCGGCCAAGACACCTGGTTCTTGGACAGTTGCTGCGGGCAACACATGTGCTCGTCCGGGCGTTTCGTACAACGCGAACATCGACTCCAACGGGAAGTGATCATCACGGTTGCCAACAACCAAAACCTGCGCACACGAAGACAAGGAGTGGTACAGCTTCAGTCAAGAGAAACAAATGTCATACTGCACATGTCTAAGGTACTCATCGCTGAAGGACTCGGCTACAACTTACTGAGCGTTAGCCAGTTGATGGCGAAAGGAATTCATCTGGAAGCCGACAGCACGACCCAGGAGTTCAAACTTTACCACGGGAGAGGCGGTCTCTACATCGGGAAAGCAGTGCTGAAGAACAACGTCTTCGTCCTCGACTTCGTTCCTGACCTGGGCACTGCAGACAGCGACGCCATCGTGAATTTCACTGACTGGACACACCCTCCGGATCTCGACCCCGACTTCAGCCCAGGAGGCTTCTGGTACTCGCACACCATTCCTGAAGCAGAACGAACACGAGCATTAGCAACAATTCGACAATCGGCAGCAGTAACAACATCGGCAGCAGCAACAACATCAGCAGCAGTAACAACATCGGCAGCAGCAACAACATCAGCAGCAGTAACAACATCGGCAGCAGCAACAACATCAGCAGCAGTAACAACATCGGCAGCAGCAACAACATCAGCAGCAGCAGGAACAACGACACCAGTCATAGTCGACGAAGCACCACCAACACCCGCGAAACAGCTGAATCCGACTCAACGTGAAGTCCACCGAAGCGCCAACCTCGTCGCCAGCTTTTACTCCAACTCCGACGCATATCAGCGTTCACCTGGACACCGTGCCTCTGAAGAGATCTGGCACGCACGAACAGGACATCCAAGTAACACGGTTTTGAATAACACGATAAGAGCAGGAGTCCTTGACAAAGATTCTCTACTTCTACCCGATGGCAGAGAACTCCAGAAGGCACGAGGGACTTGCCTTATATGTCCCGAAGCTGACTTACCTCATCGACCGTTTGCTTCACATCACAACCCGAGCGCTCCAGCGTACGCACCACTCGAAAAAGTCTACAGCGACATCCTCTACAATCGCGAGCCAGGACAAGTCAACTACAACTACACCATCACCTTCATCGACGCCGCCACTCGATACGTCTGGCATCGCAACCTACCCAGCCGCGACATGGCGCTCGCAGCATTCGCCGCCTGGCTACCGATAGCAGAGAGAGAGTCTGGAACACAACTGAAAAAATTCCAGTCAGACGGAGGTGGCGAGTACACCTCTCACCGCTTCAAGCAGTTCTTGGCGGAAAGGGGGATCAAGCAACTCCTCTCCCTTCCTTACGCACATCAGCAGCAAGGTGTTGCAGAACGACTGAACAGGACCCTGCAGAACAGCATGCGCAAACTATTACGTGGCATGCGGCTACCCAACCACCAGTGGCCAGCAGCAATGGACCACGCTGTCATGCTACACAACTTGTTGTCGTCGTCGTCACTCCCGAACAACGCATCACCGCATCTGCTGTGGACAGGGAAGCAGGGCAGCACGAAAATGTTACGAGTTTTCGGGTGCATGGTACAGTACAGACCCCCAGAAGCACGAGCGGGAAGATTTTCGCAACGGGCACAGTGGGGACTACACCTCGGCACCGAGAAAAATTACAACGCATGGAAAATCTTCGACGTCCACACAAAGGAAACAGTAGCAGCACGTGACGTGATCTTCTACGAAAGACTCACCCTTCAGACGTACCTCGCCAACTTGCACGAGAATCGGGACCTCACCAGTGGTTTTCGTGGTGACCGAGCCTTCGCGTCAGCAGCGGACGAAGCAGACTGGGATGAACAGAACGTCGACAACGCCTCAGAAGAAGCCGGACCTCTCCCATACTGCTCCGTCGACGTGCCCATGGATGAGGATAATCCTCGCGACAGTAACAACGCCGAAATCTTCTACCGTTTCGCCGACGATGGTTACGTAACACCTGTGACAGTCAACACCAACGAAGCAGAAAGGGTAGGGCCAAATTTCATGCCCGACCCAGAAACGGGAGACGAAGCAGCTTATCCCGAGGATCCAGAACTCCCTCGATACTCACAGACTGGGCTGCAAATCCTCGGCCTCGTCACCGCAGTCCACGGGAACACACGCAGCTCGCTTCCTAAGGAGCCTGCAACGGTTCAGCAGGCTCTGGGGGGGGAACACAGGGAGAAATGGCGTGAAGCCATGGATAGAGAACTGAAGGCATTAGAGGAACGCAACACTTGGAAGGTTGTTCCCGTAAGCGTGGCACGGAACAAAACCATCCTTACCGGGAAATGGGTCTTCCGCATCAAGACGAAAGCAGACGGCACGATCGAAAAAATCAAAGCACGCTGGGTCGTACGTGGATTCGACCAAGAGCAAGGACGAGACTTCACCGAGACCTTTGCTCCAGTCAGCCGCCACACGTCACTCCGAATTCTCCTCGCCATTGCCGCCATGAAGAAGAAGAAGTTACGGCAGATCGACGTCGCGAATGCCTTCCTCTACGCACCTGTGGATGCAGAAATCTACGTCGAGCTCCCGCACGGTTCCCACGGCGAACCCAACCGAATCTGTCAACTACTTAAGTCGCTCTACGGGATCAAGCAGGCACCGCGACTGTGGCAGCAGTACCTGCACGCCCGTCTCATCCGCATCGGCTTTAGTCAACTACCTCACGACCAAGGCATGTACCGCCTCACTAAGGGAAGCGACTACGTTCTCCTGATCGTCTACGTGGACGATCTCCTCTACATTGGGTCAACCGACGGCATCGCCACGTGGTTCGAAGGAGAGCTCCAGAAAGACCTCACGCTCACGGTCTCCTCCACCGTTACACAGTACCTCGGGCTCAACATCCGCGAAGAAGAAAACGCCATCTATCTAAGCGCCGAGAAATACGCCGACACCATCGCGAAACGTTTCAGCCTCACACCAAGCGCCATCTCCACGCCCTACCGCTACACATCAGGAACCGAGAAGGAACGAACTACTCTACTCAAGCCCGCCGGCATACGCGACTATCAGAAGAAGCTCGGATGCCTGCTATTCGCCGCCGTCACCTGCCGTCCTGACTTATCCTACTCCGCAAGTCAGCTCGCCACCTATCTCAAGAAGCCTGAAGCTGAACACCTGGCGGAACTTGATCGCGCTCTCCACTACTTCGTCAGCACCGCGACGATCGGGCTAACCTACCACAAGAGCGCAGCTACACCGACTAAGCTAATCGGCTACGTCGACGCCGATCACGCCGGCGACACCGACAACAGGCGCTCACGCACCGGCTATGTCTACCGCCTTGAGCCTATCGGTCCTATCTCCTGGCAGTCGAGCAAGCAGGAGTTAATCGCACTATCTTCAGCAGAAGCAGAATATATTGCACTCTGCTCAGCCACCAAGGAGGGACTTTACCTTCGCGAACTACTGGAAGAAGCGAAGCTAGCCGAGTTACCCAGCTTCACCGTGTTCTGCGACAACCAGTCAGCAATTCGCATCGCCAACAAAAACGGCTTCGCAAACAGGACGAAACACATCGCCCTGCGCTATTTCTTCGTGAAGGACGAGATAGAAAAAGGGAAACTCGATCTGTCATACTGTCCAACATCCGAGATGGCAGCCGATTACTTGACCAAGAAACTCGGCAAGCAGAAGTTCGAATACTGCATGATGCTGACTGGACAAGGCCACGTCACCAGCAGTAACACTCCAGAAGCGAAGGGGAGTGTTGGAAACAATAAGTCCTAAGTGCGCTTCTGTCGTATCAAAATCCAAGGTACCAAGCGAAGCAGTCCCAATCGAAGCATCGAGTCAACCTCGGAGGTTAGGGTAACCGCCTGGAGGTTACGAGAAAGTCAAAGGTCGCTGACCTTTGACTCGACAATTACAGCGCGACAGTTAAGGACACACAACTGACTCGTTACAGAGCAGTTGCCCGAGTCGCGCTATATCGAACCGCAACAGCAATACAGTTATCTATTCCCTGTACTCTTATATAAATCCTTGTATTTGCTTGTTTAATTCAATCAACTTTGCTCTCACACACCAGTGCAAGGTCGGTTCAAATTCTTCACTAAACGCTTCCGCTATTACAACTACTTCACCTAGAGTTATCCCTTGCAAAGATCCTAAGGGGCTATCTCAGCCCAACACTATATAACTGTGTGGTAATAGGGTGCAGTGGTGTCAGGGCCTCAGAAGTCAGCGAAAAAAGGCTGATTAGGGGTAAAAAGGCTGAGATTTCAGTGCTGGGAAGAAAGTGGGGCTGATTTGTCAGCTTTTTTTTCATTGTACCGGCTGATTTTTCAGCATTTTTTTCATTGTATGGTCTGAAATTTCAGAGTTTTTTTAGAGGTGTACACTGACTGATCAGCGTTGTAACGGGTGTGTGGGCTGAAATCCCACTAGTGGAGATTCGTGTAGTGCCGAGAATCAAAAACCTGCCTGGCCAATCAGATGGCACCAAGTCTTTCAGCTTGACTCGTCACTACAGATTCGCCCCGAGACAGCAAATTTGCCCCTACAGAACAGATTCGCCCCGTCAGAGCCACAACAATTTCGCCCAATCACAAGAATTTTTGCTCTGACACAACACGTTCTTCCAGAAATTCGCCCAATCACTGGAAATTAGCTCGGATTCGCCCATGTTGTTGCCAATAGAAGGTACTGTATTTTCGTGTGTGAAGTTGTGTAGGCACGTCGTGTGCACTGTTGGCAGCACGTCGCGTGTTGCGCTATAGGAAAGCTTGAAGTTGTGTTCAGCCTTTGTTTTTAAGCAAGGCTGAATGATCAGCCAATTTTTGAAACTAAGCACTGAAATTTCAGCTTTTTTTTTCAAGGCTACCCTGATTGATCAGCCTTCATCCCACTCCCAAGGCTGACGATTCAGCCTAGGCCAAAACGAATCTGAGGCCCTGAGTGGTGTAGCCACACCCGTCAAAGTAGAATGCGGTAATGAAGAAAGGAGGAATTCTGTCTGAGTCATTGAGCAACAAGAGCAGCTGCAATGGTGATTGCATGCAACCAAATGTTGTAGGGCCGACCGAGATCTTGAAGATCGTGCTAACAGGGCGGCAGAGCTGCAAGCCGGACGGCAGATCTTGAAGCCGGGCGCCAGAGCAACACATCGGTGGTCAAACTTTGAATTGGGTGGTGGCAGAGGTTTGGTTCTGGCGGGGCGGCAGAGGTTCAAGCAGGGCGGTAGAGCTTGCGGTTGCGGAGGCCGTTCCAGAACTGCTTGGCTGTCATTGGTCGTTTGCTCTCTGGCTGCACCTCCAGCACCTGACTCATGCATGCACGCGCAGTGGGATGGGTGGGAGGCAGATGCAAGAGAAGGGGAGGGAGGGGGGGGAGGGGAGGGCAGGGAAGATGTATGAGAGTGAGTGGACTGCCTACCTGTGATTGGTCGCTTGCTGTCTGGCTGTACCTCCAGCACCTGACATGCACACGCGGGCGCAATGGGATGGGTGGGAGGGAAATGTGGGAGGTAGATGTTCGGTGGGTAGTGTAGTGAGGGAGATGTAAGGGGGAGATGTAAGGGGGAGATGGATCACAGGCTGTGAGGGAGATGTAAGGGGGAGATGGATGACAGGCTGAATGAAGTGCTGCAGTGAAACAGGCCTCTTTTCCTGTGCCTGCAGCAGGTGAGCATGGCATGCAGGTGAGCATGGCATGCAGGTGAGCATGGCATGCAGGTGAGCATGGCATGCAGGTGAGCATGGCATGCAGGTGAGCATGGCGTGCAGGTGAGCATGGCATGCAGGTGAGCATGGCGTGCAGGTGAGCATGGCATGCAGGTGAGCATGGCGTGCAGGTGAGCATGGCGTGCAGGTGAGCATGGCGTGCAGGTGAGCATGGCGTGCAGGTGAGCATGGCGTGCAGGTGAGCATGGCGTGCAGGTGAGCATGCCACCACTCACCACCACCACTCACCACCACCACTGGCTGGTCACCTTGACTGCTCACCTTGACCACTCACCTCAAGCACAGATCCATCACTGCACGGAACAAGCATGGCCTGCCCCTCCAGCCACACCTCCTCCACCTCCTCCGGTGCCACCGCGGGGGATGGTGGGGAGGAGGCGGGGGTAGCGGGGCGGGGCCGCGTGCGGAGGAGCTTGAGAGAGACGTTGTCCACGTCGCCCGTCACTGGGTCCTTGGTTAGGAAGGAGGCTCGGGTGCCGGGCCAGGGGGGGAACGCCCGAACCTGGACGTGTGGTTTGGGTAAGAGGGAGGAGTGGAGGAGTGAGCACAGACGGAGCAATGGGGATGGGTGGGAAGGGAGGGAGTGGGTGAGAGGGCAATGGGCTGACCTGCAGGTGATGCAGGGAGGGTAACGGATGGGGAGAGATGGGAGAGAGGGACAATGGCATGTCATAAGGCAGGGAATGCAGAATGATGTGCCAAGTGGAGTGCTTGTGGTGCAATCAGCTCAACTGAGAAAAGTGGAAAGGCGTGCGAAATGAGTTCAACTGCACTGAATCAGCAAGGTGCTGTGCTGAGCTCTCTTAAGGTCGCTCCACGCTTGTGCATGCAATACTTGAGGGGTAACACCACATAACCTGCAGAAGCTGCCATGCAAAGGAGTTCTAAACCTGTCATGGCATGTGGTGCTGTGATGGCATGTGGTGCTGTGAACGCATGTGGTGCTGTGATGGCATGTGGTGCTGTGATGGCATGTGGTGCTGTGATGGCATGTGGTGCTGTGATGGCATGTGGTGCTGTGATGGCATGTGGTGCTGTGATGGCATGTGGTGCTGTGATGGCATGTGGTGCTGTGATGGCATGTGGTGCTGTGATGGCATGTGGTGCTGTGATGGCATGTGGTGCTGTGATGGCATGTGGTGCTGTGATGGCATGTGGTGCTGTGATGGCATGTGGTGCTGTGATGGCATGTGGTGCTGTGATGGCATGTGGTGCTGTGAAGGCAGCACCTTGTTGTGCAGAGTGAGGGCTGGCAGAGAGAAGTTGAGAATGCCCTCCTCTGCTGCCACCTGCCATGAGAGGCAACCAGGCAGTCGTGGGAGGGCAGTCGTTGTTGTAATTGTATACAATATACAACATTCATAGGCTAGAATAGGTGTAGTCCTTTATGTTCTTGGGGGGTAGGGTGTACACTCCAACCACATGTGGTTGGTCAAGATTGGATTTGGTCATGGCCCTTGGTTGGCACTTGCCAACTTTCGGTCCTTAGACCAACCAATCCCAACCTAGCTACTTTGCGAGGTTTCCTACTCCACAAGGCACCTCACTCATTGGCCAACTTAGTGGCCAATAGGATTAGCTCCTCCTCCACCCTTCTCTTCCTTGCATGCTTGTATTACAGAGCCTTGTTGGCTCATTACTAAACACGTTCTTGAATTCTATCAGTCGTGGGAGGGCAGTCGTGGGAGGGGATTCAAGGGAGGGCAGTCATGCAAGGTGCAGAGATGAGAGGAACATCAGGACCCCCTCCTCTGCTGCCCCATGCAACCCCATGCAACCCCTTGCAACCCCATGCAACCCCATGCAACCCCTTGCAACCCCATGCAACCCCATGGAACCCTATGCAACCTCTTGCAACCCCTTGCAAGCCCATGCAACCACTTGCAACCCCTTGCAACCCCTTGCAAGCCCATGCAATCCCTTGCAGCCCCTTGCAACCCCATGCAAGACCATGCAAGCCCATGCAATGTGGTGTTGCGCTGGCCCCACCTTAGCCGCGTGGGTAGCTTGGGAGTCGTCTTGCGGCGTCGCAGTGGCAGCCGCAGAGCCATCCAGCACGGCGGGCAGATGCTGCAGTAGCAGGTGCGTGCCTGGCGTGGGAGGGACAGGGGAGACAGGAGGGTGGGGGGGGAGGAAAGGTGTTGCACTTTGTGAGGCATCTCAGTGAGGGCAGATGCTGCAGTAGCAGGTGGGTGGAAGGCGGGAGGGGAGCCGAGAGAGAGGAGGGTGCGAGGGGGAGTGGGGAGAGAGAAAGAGGAAAGAGAAGGACGGCAGTGGGAAGGGACGATAGCATGGATGGTGCGGGTGATGCAGTGATGAGGTGAAAGATAGCAGCACGGTGGGATGCTGCATCGAAGTAGATGCAGCACGGTGGGATGCTGCATCGAAGTAGATGCAGCACGGTGAGAAGATGGGTGGGGGCTGTGGTGGGCTAGATGGGGTGGGGGCTGTGGTGGGCTAGATGGGGTGGGGGTTGTGGGTTGGGCAGTGAAGGCACCCCGATGAAAGAGGTCGTTGAGCAGTTCAGGTGCTTGCACGTCATCCGCTACCAGCACCCGCTCCTGTGCGATGATGGGGCCTGCATCCATCTGCAGCACCGTGTACGCCACTGTCACTCCTGTCTCTGCCACCCCTTGCTAGATGAGGAGGGAGGGTGGGGGGAAGGTGACTTATGGGTCAACTGGAGAGGCATAAGCGCCCGCCCCCTCTCCTGTGCGATGATGGGCTCTGCGTTCACCGTCTGCACCGTGTATGCCCCTGTCACTCCCGTCTCTGCCACTCCTTGCTGGCGAGGCCATAGGAGATGGGAGACACGGGGGGAGACACGGGGGGAAGACACGGGGGAAGACACGGGGGGAAGACACGGGGGGAAGACACGGGGGGAAGACACGGGGGGAAGACACGGGGGGAAGACACGGGGGGAAGACACGGGGGGAAGACACGGGGGGAGACACGGGGGGAGACACGGGGGGGAGACACGGGGGGAAGACACGGGGGGAAGACACGGGGGGAAGACACGGGGGGAAGACACGGGGGAAAGACACGGGGGGAAGACACGGGGGGAAGACACGGGGGGAAGACACGGGGGGAAGACATGGGAGGAAGACATGGGGGGAGGACATGGAGTGAAGATGCAGAAAGTTGCATGGCACAGAGGTGTGGTGTTGCATGGCACAGAGGTGTGGTGTTGCATGGCACAGAGGTGTGGTGTTGCATGGCACAGAGGTGAGGTGTTGGAAAGAAGAGGCAGCAAGGAGGTGGGGATGCGATGGGGCAGGTGGCATCAGGAAGGCCGCAGTGAGTTGTGCACCGAGGTTGCTCAACACACTTTATCTTCCTCTGCTAAATAATAACAACTTATCGGCTGGCATGCCTGCCTGGAGGAAGGAAATTGGTGGAGGTGGGGAGAGGAAGGCGGGCCTTCGTGAAACCTGCTACTTCATCGCCCCTTGTTGACTCCACTGCCCCTTGTTGACTCCACTGCCCCTTGTTGACTCCACTGCCCCTTGTTGACTCCACTGCCCCTTGTTGACTCCACTGCCCCTTGTTGACTCCACTGCCCCTTGTTGACTCCACTGCCCCTTGTTGACTCCACTGCCCCTTGTTGACTCCACTGCCCCTTGTTGACTCCACTGCCCCTTGTTGACTCCACTGCCCCTTGTTGACTCCACTGCCCCTTGTTGACTCCACTGCCTCTTGTTGACTCCACTGCCCCTTGTTGACTCCACTGCCCCTTGTTGACTCCACTGCCCCTTGCACGTCTACCCTTGTTGCTCCTTCCTCCCCTCCTCTACCCCTCCTCTCCTTCCTTTCCCCTTGGTCACCTCTAGTGCTCGCTGCCACCCAGTGCCACCCAGTGCCACCCAGTGCCCCTCGCCACTCGCCCTCTCCTCTCCCCTTTACTACCCCCTACCCACCTCCTCAGCCCCTTTCCCACTGCTTCAGCTCCCTACCCGCCTGCTCACCTCCAGTGCTCGCTGCACGGGCGATGCTCCTCTGAACTTGGGGAGCAGGCTGGGGTGAATGTTCACAGTGCCTGCTCATGAATGGGGGTGAATGTTCACAGTGCCTGCTCATGAATGGGGGTGAATGTTCACAGTGCCTGCTCATGAATGGGGGTGAATGTTCACAGTGCCTGCTCATGAATGGGGGTGAATGTTCACAGTGCCTGCTCATGAATGGGGGTGAATGTTCACAGTGCCTGCTCATGAATGGGGGTGAATGTTCACAGTGCCTGCTCATGAATGGGGGTGAATGTTCACAGTGCCTGCTCATGAATGGGGGTGAATGTTCACAGTGCCTGCTCATGAATGGGGGTGAATGTTCACATTGCCTGCTCATGAATGGGGGTGAATGTTCACAGTGCCTGCTCATGAACGGGGGTGAATGTTCACAGTGCCTGCTCATGAATGGGGGTGAATGTTCACAGTGCCTGCTCACGAATGGGGGTGAATGTTCACAGTGCCTGCTCATGAATGAGGGTGAATGTTCACAGTGCCTGCTCATGAATGGGGGTGAATGTTCACAGTGCCTGCTCATGAACGGGGGTGAATGTTCACAGTGCCTGCTCATGAATGAGGGTGAATGTTCACAGTGCCTGCTCATGAATGGGGGTGAATGTTCACAGTGCCTGCTCATGAACGGGGGTGAATGTTCACAGTGCCTGCTCATGAATGAGGGTGAATGTTCACAGTGCCTGCTCATGAATGGGGGTGAATGTTCACAGTGCCTGCTCATGAATGAGGGTGAATGTTCACAGTGCCTGCTCATGAATGGGGGTGAATGTTCACAGTGCCTGCTCATGAACGGGGGTGAATGTTCACAGTGCCTGCTCATGAATGAGGGTGAATGTTCACAGTGCCTGCTCATGAATGGGGGTGAATGTTCACAGTGCCTGCTCATGAACGGGGGTGAATGTTCACAGTGCCTGCTCATGAATGAGGGTGAATGTTCACAGTGCCTGCTCATGAATGGGGGTGAATGTTCACAGTGCCTGCTCATGAATGGGGGTGAATGTTCACAGTGCCTGCTCATGAATGGGGGTGAATGTTCACAGTGCCTGCTCATGAACGGGGGTGAATGTTCACAGTGCCTGCTCATGAATGAGGGTGAATGTTCACAGTGCCTGCTCATGAATGGGGGTGAATGTTCACAGTGCCTGCTCATGAACGGGGGTGAATGTTCACAGTGCCTGCTCATGAATGAGGGTGAATGTTCACAGTGCCTGCTCATGAATGGGGGTGAATGTTCACAGTGCCTGCTCATGAACGGGGGTGAATGTTCACAGTGCCTGCTCATGAATGAGGGTGAATGTTCACAGTGCCTGCTCATGAACGGGGGTGAATATCCACTAGGAATCCGCACAACTCACAGCCTCGATTATCGTGTTACGCTCACAACACAAGAGCTTGCGTGTGAGGGATTTATGGAGGAGGGGCCAGGTGAGTGGAAGAGAGCGCAAAAAGAACCAAGAGAGTGCAAGAGAGCGCAAGAGGGTGCAAGAGAGTGCAAGAGAGCGTACGAGAGTGCAAGAGAGCGCAAGAGAGTGCAAGAGAGCGCAAGAAAGAGAGTGCAAGGGAGCGCATGAGAGTGCAAGGGAGTGCAAGGAAGAGAGCGGAAGAGAGAGCAAGAGAGCTCAAGGGAAAGGGACAGATGGGTGGATGCATGTGCTTACCTTGGAGCGGGATAGAGAGGAAGGAAGACGGGAGGAAGTTTCCATATGCTGCAGTGATGCACATGTCTGGCTGCAGGTGCTTCAGCGCCTCTAGGAAGGCGGGCTGGCAGCACATGGGGTTAGCGCAGCGCATCAAGAAAGGCCGGAGGGCAGTGCGTGGGCGTATTGTATTGGGTTGGGCGAGGGTGGAGATGTGCGGAAAGGGGGGGAATAATGCTTGATAAGGAGGGCGGGCAGGCGGCGCAAGAAGATATACGTGTGAGAGGGAAGGGGGGGGGGGGGGGGGGGGGAAGAATAAGTGGAGGGAGGGGGGTGAGGGGATGGCGATGCAGGCAGTAAGTGGAAGGGTCCTCGAGTCTCGAGAAACACAAGTAGTTCGTACTAACGAGGAAGCACAGCAAGGACATTTGTGAAAGCGGCCAACAAAAGGTCAGGAGGGACAGGGAAAAGGACAGGAGTAACAGATCAGCGGGTGAGAGCAGCGGATGAGAGCAGCGGATGAGAGCAGCGGATGAGAGCAGCGGATGAGAGCAGCGGATGAGAGCAGTGGATGAGAGCGGCGGATGAGAGCAGCGGATGAGAGCAGCGGATGAGGACAGAGGCTGAGGCGAACAAGGGCGCACATCGCGAGCCGTGGCAGGCGAGAGGATACGGTCGGGCGGCAGGCCGCGATCTGCTGCCAGCTGTCCCACGGCGGTCGGCTGCAGCTGTCCTTTAGTGCGCCCCCTGCCCCGGCTGGACGGCGGCTGCGTTACCACCGCCGCCACCTGGTGGGGTGAGCGTGCATGGGGGATAAGAGGGGGGAGGGCGGGGAAGACGGGCGGGGAAGAAAGGCGGGGAAGAAGGGGGGGAAGAGGTAGGTGGGAGGGGGTAAGGAAATGGGAAAGAGTTGCGAATGGCGTGGGAGGCAGAGAAAGTAGGTGGTGGGAAGAGGCAGCAGTGTAGCGGGAGAAGGGGGTGGGGGAGGCAGCTTGCGAGGTGATGCGATGCCATGGGGAAGGTGTAGCTGGCGGGGGGTGGCAGGAAGCAGAGATGATGCAACATGGGAGAAGCAAGGGGGCAAACAAGAAGCAAGGGGGGAAACAAGAAGCAAGGGGGGAAACAAGAAGCAAGGGAGGAAACAAGAAGCAAGTCAGAGTGCCGTATCCACCAGTGGCGGCCCACCGATGCACGCGGCACATTGGAGCTGCACGCGGCACATTGGAGCTGCCCTTTCGCTGTCCAAGATTGGATCTTCCTGCGTGTTCGCCTGCCCGTTAGCCTGCCTATCAGCGGGTACGGACTGACCTCAAAGAGCGAGTGCGGCTGCTGAGCCGCGTCCAGCAGTCGGCCCAACACCCCCGCCGCCACCTGCGCGCGCAGGAGGAGAGGGGAGGGGAGGGGGACAGAAAGGGAGGGGGGGCGGGCGGGGCGGGGAGGAGGACAGAAAGGGAGGGGGGGCGGGCGGGGCGGGGAGGAGGACAGAAAGGGAGGGGAGGGGGCTGGGAGCAGGATATAAAGGGAGGGGAGGGGGGGGGGAGCAGTGAGTCCAACACTCCCGCTGCCACCTGCACGAGGGGGCGGGGAGCGGGGGCGTGGCGATGCAGGGAGGGAACAGGAGGGGATGACGAGAGGTGGGGAGGAGGGGAGGAGGAGAGGTGGGGAGGAGAGGAGGAGGAGAGGTGGGGAGGAAGGGAGGAGGAGAGGTGGGGAGGAGGGGAGGAAGGGAGGCAAGGAGGGGCGGAGGAGAGGTGGGGAGGAGGGGAGGCAGGTAGGAGGGGAGGCAGGGAAGGGGGGAGGGGGGAGGAGGGTGCAAAAGAGTAGGACGAAGCGGGGATTGGCTGGGGTGAAGCGGATATGTGGGGGCGCACGAAAACACTGCGAAGCGGCGAACACGGCGGGGGAAATGAGGGGCGCAAAGGAGAGGCGCGTGGTGGGATGGCGCGGAGGAGAAGCGCGTGGTGGGATGGCGCAGAGGAGAGGCGCGCGGAGGGAAGGCGCGGAGGAGAGGCGCGCGGAGGGATGGCACAGAGCAGAGGCGCGCGGTGAGATGGCGAGGAGAAACGCGCGGTGGGAGTTGGAATGCCGCTTAGGAGAGGCACGTGGTGGGATGGCGCGGCGGAGAAGAGGCGAGGAGAGGAAGGTTGGCGGTGCACAGACGTGCAGTGAGCAGTAGCGCAGTGAGGCGGGCCGCTGCAGACTTTGCAGCCCAGCAATCGCTGTCGGTTCTAGCTCGCCCGACCCACCTCAGGCGACCCGAGAAATACAAGCTTCTTCTTGTCCCCGCTAGAGGAACCTCCGCTTTGCGCGCTACAGGAAACGTATCGACGGTGGCGTCCAGCGGGCACTAGGAGAAGCTTGACGGGGAGCGCGAGAGGGCGACTCAACAGCCATCTGAAGCCGCTGGATACGCGCGTCAACGGCTGCATCGGGCAAAGTATAGACGGTGACATTATCGATCCTACGCAGGGAAATCTTACGGGATCTCTAGGTACTTGGATGAAATCGAGTCCCAAGAATCTCCGAGCAATATTCTAGGGAGTGCCAACTAGTTTCCAAAAAAGGTTCTTGGGGAAGCTTCTGGAAGAATGTATCGCGACAGTTGACAGGCTCGTGAGGCCCGTAGCACATTTCGACCGTTGACGATATGTGGTGATACAAGCTGGTGCTACTAACGTGGAACTTTCAGGGCCGCCACTGAACGTTCAATTGCTCCGATAGATGACACACCATAAAGCATGCAGCTATATATCCAACACCACCGTTGTATTTTCCTTTTAACCTCTTTATCTCAAAGATAAAAATGTTCATGTATTAAAGAATTGATTCCATATGATGTTTTGACTGAAACAAAATTATTAGTCTACTACACACCACTAGAGCAGAAAATACCTGGAACAATGACAATGACCTCGAGCTCACCGCCATAGATTGTATAAACAACGTCAGCACCGCATACGGTACCGTATTACCCCGGGTATAAGCGCAACCGCGCTTATAATAAAACATTGATTTATAGGGGGGTGCATTTATAAATGAGTCACAGGCATAAGCGAATGCGTTTATAATGACAAATGTAGAAATATGTTTTAAGCGTACCAAAATATGCATCTTAGTCTTGCAATTCCAGTCGAATCGAAATGTTAGCGCGTCATAGATCAAAATCGCGGGTAATTACCTTCTGGGTAACCAACATCGAGCCCGATGATGTCAGTAGTCACCTACGTGGCTCGATGGTACCCGTCAGATCTTGTGCGCCCCTTTGTGTCAAAACGTATTTGCTTATGTTGTTAAGGCTATATGGATGTTAGCACTAGGGGGTATACAATTTCACTCGATATTGTTCTTGTAGCCCTCCCCTTGACCTAATGACCATCCTATTCTTCTCGACATGGTATAGAGCGGGTCCTTTCTAAGGACCATTGTTTTTAGAGGGCCCACCGATGAGTTTTTTTTTTCCTGCCCGAAATCTGCCCGTTTAGCCCGCGAACAGCCCGAGCGTGGACCGTACAGCCCGCGCCAGGCCCGTTTAGCCCGCGAACCGCCCGCGCGTAGGTTGTACAGCTCGCGCGCCGCCCTTGCGCAGCCCATACAGTCCGCGCGCCGCCCACGTACAGCCCGTACAGCCCACGCACGACTAGCACGCAGCCCGTACGGCCCGCGCCAGGCCCGCGCGCAGCTAGTATTGCCCGCGCTAGGCCCGCACGCAGTCCGTACAGCCCGCGCAAGGCCCGTGCGCACCTACCCTGCCGCGCGTGCACTTGCACTGGCCCTACACCTCGCTGGCCCGCTGTCCCTACTGCCCTACTACTACAACTGCCCTACTTCTACTACCCTACTGTCATTGCCCTGGACGGTGTAGTGCTAGCAAGCGCGACTGCCCTGCCCTGCCTGCACGTGTAAGCACTGGCCGCGCCGCCCTGCCCTGCTGAGCGGCGCCCTGCACTGCCTTGCTGGCCTGCACCGCCCTGCACTGCCTTGCTGGCCTGCACCACCCTGCACTGCTCTGCTGGCCTGCACCGCCCTGCACTGCTGGCCTGCACTACTGGCCTGCACTGCCCTGCACTACTGGCCTGCGCCGCCCTGCCCTACTGAGCGCCACCCTGCACTGCCCTGCTGGCCTGCACTGCCTTGCTGGTCACTGCCCTGATGGCCGCCTTGCACTGCACTACCCTACTGCACTGCCCTGCTGGCCGCGCTGCCCTGCCCGTGCTGGCCGCACCGCCCTACCTGAGCGCCGCTAACAACCATGCCACCCTGCCCTACTGACTGCCGCCCTGTCCTACTCCGCGCTACTACTCAGAGAGTCGCCCTGCTGGCCACCGCCCTGCTTTGCCTTGCCTGCGTGCTGCTCTGTTGCTAGCGCGCCCGACCACTCTGCCCGCTATGGCCACTCTCAGTGTCGTCACGTTCGATCCGGAGGGCCGCCCGATAGAGTTCAATGCATGGCTCGATGACCTACAGTTGTTCTTACTGAGCGATTCCAAGGACGGAGTCACACTGTTTGACCTAACGTCTCGCGCCTCTCTCGCCCCTGCCGCCATAGCTGACAGTACGACTCGCTCACAGTGGCTTACTCGTGACGTTGCTGCTCGCTTAGCTGTTTGCAACCACCTGCCGTTAGCCGAACGCGCTCACTTCGGATAGCATAACACTGTGAAAGCACTGTACGACGTTGTAGTTGTTCGTTACTCCTCCCCGGCCACGGGTGCACTAGGCCGCCTTCTCCTGCCCTACCTGTTCCCAGAGCTGTCCGCATATGCCATAGTAGCTGACCTCGTCACTCACCTTCGTACTAGTGACACTCTCTACCGCGCTGCGCTTCCCGCCGAGTTTCTCACCAAGAACCCCCCTCCCATGTACATCACTCTCTACTTCATAGTCACCCGCCTCCCTGACTCCTTAGCGCTAACAGGGACCTCCTTTTAGTCGTTGACCCCACCACCCTCACTGTCGACCTGCTCGAGAAGCACCTCCTTGCAGCTGAGACTAGCATAGTCATTGTAGGCGCTTATCGTGGCACTCCTTGCACCCCCTTCTTTGAGGGGTGTTGGCCCTCCTCCCTTCTCCCCTCAGTCGCCTCTGCTGCAGAGTTGACTACCTTCGTGCTGAGGAGGTAGGAGCTGCGTCTGCCCCTAGTAGGAGGCGCCGCAGCTGCAGGGGCAGGGGAGGCAGGGGCGGTGGGGGCGGCAGAGGTGGAGGCGGTGGTGGGGGCGGTGGAGGCGGTGGAGGAGACGGCGGTGGCGGAGGGAGTGGTGGTGGGGGTGGAGGTGTAGGTGGCGGCAGTGGTGGCGGCAGTGGCAGTGGGGTGGGGGTGGAGGTGGGGGTGGTGGCGGGAGTGGGGGCGTCGGCGGCGGCGGTGGAGGTGCTGGAGGCAGCGGCAGCGGTGGTGAAGGTCGCGGCGGCGGTGGTGGTGGCCGGAGTGGAGCCACGCAGCGTGGAGGCTTTGGCGGCGCTCAGCGACAGCAGCAGCCGCACTCCTGTGAGACTCTGTCACCCCAGTAGCTTCGTGAGTGGTACGCTGGGCGTGGTAGGTCTAGGGGTGCTGGTCCCTGCACTTACGGTCTCCGCACCGGCGACTGCAGTGGGGAGACGTGCGGGCTGCCACACGCGACGCAGCGCTGTTTCGGTCGCCTAACTGACGCCTGGCGCACATAGATCCCTGACGCCACTGAGCTCTCTCGCTGGGTTGATCTGCTTAAGTCTGGTGTTGATATCTTTGCTCTTGACTATGATGCTATCCTTGCTGCCATGTATGCTGTGACTATGAGTGCTGAGGGTGACTATTACGTGTCTGTTCCGCCCGACCCGGACATTGGTGCTGCTGCTCTAGGTGCTAGTGAGTCTGTCGCTCAAGGTGCTAGTGAGTCAGCTGCTCCAGGTACTGGTGAGTTTGCTTTCTCAGGTACTGCGCCCGCTGAGGCCTTGCACACCTTCACAGTTGACTCAGGTGCTTCGCGCTCCTTCTTTTGCGACTGCACCACTCTCACGCCACTCAGTCGGCCGGTTGCGGTCTCCCTGGCGGACCCCTCTGGAGGTCCTGTCCTTGCGCACTCTTCCACGATTCTACCATGTCTGGGAGTCCCATCTGGCTCACTGTCAGGTCTCCACCTCCCCTCGTTCTCTACGAACTTGGTGAGTGGCGCTGATCTCCAGGATGTGTGGGTTGACCAGTTCACTCCTGGAGGTCAGCGAGTGACCCACTGCACTTGCTCCCAGACTGGTAGACACCTGGCCACATTCACCCGAGCGCCTAGCTTGAGCCTGTACACACTGACTACTGCGTCCCCCAAGATAGCTGCGTCTGCGTCCGTGCCTGGTCAACTAGCTGCCCCCTGCTCGTGTCGGGCTCTGTCGCACCGGACCCTTCTTTCGTACCACCGTCTTGGTCACCCCTCGGTGCAGCGCCTTCGGGCCATGCACCGCCATCTCCTAGTCTCTGGCCTTCTGGAGACTCTGCCTCCTCTCCCACCCTCCCCTACCCCCCCCTGCCTTCCCTGTGTCGAGGGGCGGCAACGCGCTGCTCCTCACTACTCCTCGTTCCCCCCGACGTCTGCTCCCCTGCAGACCCTGCACATGGACATGTGGGGCCCAACCCGCGTCCGTGGACAGGGCCACGAGCGGTACTTTCTGCTGGTTGTTGACGACTACTCGCGCTACACCACGGTCTTCCCCTTGCGCACCAAGGGTGAGGTCCCTGATGTTTTGATCCCTTGGATCCGCGCTGCCCGTCTCAAGCTCCGCAAGCGGTTCGGGACGGAGTTTCCCGTCCTGCGTCTGCACTATGACAGAGGTGAAGAATTTTCCTCTGACCTGCTGCAGAGCTTTTGTCATGGGGAGGGCATTCGCCAGACGTTCACGCTTCCGGCCTCTCCGCAGCAAAATGGGGTTGCTGAGCGCCGCAATGGCTTGCAGTTGCTCGGCAGGGACCACATTCTGCCAGTACATTCTGAGCCGGTGCGCGTAGGACCCCATTCTAGCCGCATCGCAGCTCATCCCTTCTCCCAAATGTCCCCTGATCCTGTCCCTCACCAGTCGGATTGGCTCTCTGCTATCCCCCTCCAGGTCCAGGTTCTCTAGCAAGTATGCCACCCTGCCCTGCCTCTCCTGCAGCCACTCCCTGATTCGGAACAGATCCTCCAGCAGCCCCGCCCTATGATCTTCTCCTCCCTTGCCCCTGCCTCCCCAAGACACCACTTGGCATTCCCACCCTGCCACCAGCAGATCCACCTGCCCCCATCTCGCTACTTCGGCCTCACCTATGTCTTTCACATCGTGAATCGTCCCCCTCATCGCCTTGCCGATCACCTCCTCACTCAGCAGGTCTAGGAATTCCGCTTGCAGCTTCCTGGCATGGTGCTCCGCCATCCTCCTCATCCCGGGTTCCTTCTCTACATATGTCCATCTCTTCACTGCTATCCCATTCCTCATCAATGCTGACAGCCCAGCCCCT